CATGGCAGAAAATGCAACTGGATTCCAGTTAATCTCTTGCCAAATTAAAACTTGCTTCTTAATTTGTTGGCCTCCTGCTCAATAAAAATCTTGGTCATGCTCTCTAATAGGAATTCCTCACCAAACCTCACTTAATGCTAAAATTAAAAAAAAAAATGTGAGAATCATTTATCTCTGACACCCAAGTATGCCTTAAGCAGTATGCTTAAGTATGCTTGAATCATTTAAGATTTCTCTAACACCTAAAGCTAATTATTCTAGTTCTTTGGTGCTATTTTTAATTTCATAAACACTTTTGGTTTCTTCAATTTTATTTGAAATTTAAAAAGAGAGTAGGCTTGTGTTACGGCAATAGTTAGCCATTAATTGGAAAATAGAAATGTGTTTGTTTAAATTTTGCCTTCCTGATAGCTCCATACATATATAGGTATGTGTGGGTGTGTGTTTGTGTGTGTACATTTCACATGCAGTTGGTCCAAAACATAGGCGTTTTATGCATTTACCTTACAGAGTCATTAAAAAAGAATCATTTCACTGTGCATGTTCAAACACGCCCAAAAAGAAGGACAATGTGTAGTAGTTATAAACTCACTGACCCCGGTAAGAAAGGGACAATGTCCTGGCCTGTATGTTTGGTATCAGAATCTAGATAGTAAGTGATGCATTTTTAAATGATGGGTTAGTATCTAGCTACGTGGCTAAGTTAAACTTATAAAAGCTGGAATAAAGGGAAGACAGTAACAGACCTTCAAATAAGTGCAAAGTAAATTCTAAATACATGAAAACATTGCTCACTTTCACAGATTATTGAAGTAGGAATTTAAGGTTCTGGGTTATGCCCATATCTATATCTATCTATCTATATTTATACACACACATATGTAATTTATAAGATTTATATATCTAATTATAATTCCATAACTTATATATTAAACATTTTTATCTTAAATATTAAATTGAGTGCAGGTAAAGTACACTTATATGTTCAAGCTTTGAAAACTGTTAGAACCCTTTCAGAAAGCAAGAACAGAAATTTTATAACATGTATATAAATATTAACGTGTTTACAGTCTTGATAATTCTGCTGAGAATTTTTTAAAAATACATAACAATAGGTAAAAGCTACATTCATTAGAGTTTTTGTTGTGGTGATGGTGTTACATTTAATAGTATAAATTTAAAGCATGCAAGTAACTAACACTCGAGGAAAACCTAAGTAAATATTGCACCTGGATGGACTAATACTTAATTACAACAATAATCATAAGGACTATGAAATAACTGGACCAAATTTATGGTAAAATATTAGTCAAGAAAAAGGTGAAGCCATAAGAAAATTGTTTAGCCAGAGCCAAAAAAACTTTAGTGAAAATTATTTTGCGTTTTTAAATTTTTTGTAATACTGTTTTTATGGTTTGGAAATGTTGACAAGAATTTGAGTCCTTCTTGTCCACATTTAAGTGTGAGATACAATTGTCCCTGGCCCAACCACTTCTCTCCATGTAGACAATAACAAAGACAAGTCCAATTTCTCCGAAGGGAGTCAATCCCAAGGTATAGCTGTCCCCACAAAGCACCACTGGGGTTGCAGTTAGTTTCCGGAGTGTGTATCAAACTCATGCAATACAGGTCTGGAAATCACACCTGCCCTTCTTGGGAGCCACTCCCTCTACATCAAAGGACTATCCTTGGCACAGCACAGGTAGGGTTGCAGCCCCAAGCCCTGAACACAACCACGTCTTCATACCGTGAAGCCAGACTGTCTGGGTAAAAGGACACAGTCTCATCACCAGGCATATCTTTGTTAAAGCACAAATGCCCAATGTTTCAACAATCAAATAATCACTAAATTACCAAGCCAAGCAATTGCTTATGGAGAAAGCCAGGAAAGGAAAAGGCATTCTCAGCCCTCCGATATTAAAACAACAACAATAACCGAAAAAGACTTTCCAAGTTTATAATTTTTTTAAATCTGTGTTTTAAAACCAGATATTTATTACTCTTTTAAAATGTCTCAGGGTTAACATTTTTAGCTCTGCAACAGTGCAGCTAACATTCCAAGACCAGTCATCGTGCACTGCCCATAGAAAAATTAACACCATCAAGGCCATTTTTCTGTGCTTAAGCTCATATCAATAAAAACTACCCTATAGGCATAAACTTGATATTTCTGTTCACCACACATTAACCCTGAGTTCCTCAGAGTGTGACACCCAGGTGACTTCTGTGATGCAAATTTCTAAAAATCTGGCTGGAAACCTGCATGATTGAATACCCCACTCATGGCAGGTTTCAACCATTGATCTTCACTTATTTTACCCAGTCTGCACTTAGTCTTAGAAGATTAACCCTTTGGCAGGGTGAATTCACATTGTTAAATGAGTCCTGAGACTCATGAAAGTACGTTAGTTCCCAGAGTAGGACCCAGGAGATCTAACATGATTCATGGGAGTCAAAGAGAAGTGAAGAAGTGGCTGACATGGGAGCTGGGGAGAGACACAGCCTCTGGAAGGAGTTGAATCACAGATTCCTGGAGCTACAGAAAACCTTAGCAGTCACCTTAGCCCTCTCAATGCACCACACAACCAGTTAATAGGACAAACTCAATCTAGCTTTATTTACATTGTCCCTAGAATATACTGAGGTAAAGGAAATGTGGACAGAAGGAAGCTGGTCATACAAAAAAAATTATATATTATTAAAGAAACATAATAGCAAGTAACGACAAAATATTATACATAAAGATAATCCTAAAAACATTTTCTGATAAAGTCCTGCTATAAGTTTTAAATTACATCTGAATACTGAGGAGACCATCTTAGAAGCTGGGGTGGATGGCAACTTCCCAGTAAGAATGTTAAAGGGAGAAAGCGAATCATTTATACACCTGGCCGGCCCCTGTGACCTGCAAAAGTCAGTGGCTGCATATTCAGTTGCACATACATTTTGAAAAACTTGTCTTTGTCTGGCAATGTCATTCCCATCACCCCGTCCCTCACACTTTTCAAATAGAAAGAAAAGGGTCATAGGGTGGGCAGTGGCTGGGTGCAGGAGGTCTCGACCTCACCACATCTGGTGAGGGCAGAGGAGGGGAGGCAGAGAGGACTGGGGGAAAGAGCTGGAGCAAGGGTGAGAGGACAGCAAGCTGGCCAAGGAGAAGCACTTCATCCCCTTAACTTCTGCTTGAAGCATCTACCTCCCCCAAACACAGAAATATGGAAAAGAGGTAGTCAGCAACAGAAGAGGAAAATCGAGGTACTTTCCAAGGATTCAAGAGGAAGAGGAATGCATGCATGGGTTGGTTGTTTTTCAGCTGCCCACATGCTGTTTTATGTGAGCACTTAGAAATTCACAAGAACGCATTTCTACGGTATCCCTTTGCCACAAATAAGGCATCAGAACATCTGTTAAGAAGCAAATGATTTTCTACATCCACCACCACCTGCATACTCAAAATCACAGAGATAGATTAAAAAGGGTATATTTCAAAATGTTAAACCATATATGCTGTGTAGGAGCGCTTTACCAAATTACCTTTGTTGCAGTCACTGAAGATCTCATCACAGAGTAAAAACCATCATGCTTCCACATAGAAATAAGCAAATTGCAACAGTAAAACATAACCAGGAAGAGAAAAGGAATTCAGCCGCCCCATCAACACTAAAACTAGTCAATAATTATCTAAGTGGTATCAGTTATGTTTTCTGTGCATCCTGGTTGGTCTCTAAGTAGAGAAGGAACCTGAGAGAAGGGCTTGGGATGGCTGCGGTTTCTCTATAGAAGTTTTATCTTAGGCGGTGTGTGTGAAGACTGGGGTGTATCCAGGGAGGTAATCTGAATGTTCACTGTGTCAACATTCTACCCACTTCTGGGTAGAATCATTGCTCATCCTAATCACATTCAAAGGCCCCATGGGGCAGCAGGAAGTTCCTACTTACTGGCAATTTAGTTCTTGGAAACCTTGAAGAGGATGGCTTTGTTCCTCTGTGCTGTCATGGCTGTGTGGAGGCTACTCAGCCAGTTCATAGCTAAAACTCAACAGGCAGGAATGACTGTCACACCTCTCCAAAGCTTTTTTTTTTTTGAGATAGAGTCTCACTCTGTTTCCCAGGCTGGAGTGCAGTGGTGCGATCTCAGCTCACTGCAACCTCCACCTTCCGGGTTCGAATGATTTTCCTGCCTCCGCCTCTCAAGGAGCTAGGATTATAGGTGCATGCCATAACACCTGGCTAATTACTGTATTTTTAGTAGAGATGGAGTTTTACCATGTTGGCCAGTCTGGTCTCAAACTCCTGACCTCAGGTGATCCACCTGCCTCGTCCTCACAAAGTGCCTGGATTACAGGCATGAGCCACCACGCCCGGCCTCCAAAGCATCTTAAAAATGAGTGAGGAGTACTGCCAATTTAAATGTCTGCCTGATTTTCAATAGAAGAGAGTTACACATTCAATAAATATTCACTTGTTTAAGTGATAATGTAAATTTCATAATGAGAACAAGAAATCTAAGAAGGACATTCTGTAATGCATGTTATGAACTAGGCATATTTTCCTACTTCCTAGCATTACACTGTTTTCTGGACATAAGTTGTGAAAAACACTCACCAGCTGAACATAGCATGGGGGTTGAGCAGGAAGAAATCAAAAGGTTGAAGCAAAACAAACCCAGGAGAACAGGGTTTGAATTCCATTTTTGGAGGCAAATTAAGTAATGCTAAATAGAACTAGAGGGGTAGTTTTTCATATCAAATGTCTACAATATAAATGTTGACATTTCTCTAGTTCTATTCATACTATTTATTCTCTATATCTATTCATATATGAATAGAACTAGAGAAATGTGATCTATAATTGCACTGTCAAGTACAGTAGCCACCAGCCACATATGCCTATTTAAAGTGAAATAATTATTTAAATACAGATAAATATTAAGTTTCTCATTCATGCTAATGCTCAATAGCTTCAGAGAACTAGCAGCTACCCTATTGGACAGTGCAGATTACAGAACATCTTCACTCTGCTGAAAGTTCTGTTGGGCATCTCTTATTCCAGAGTTTATAATAGACTTTGAAGTGATCATAGATGTAAAATATAAACTAAATAAAAGGCATGGCTCCATAAAAGTGCACAATAGGAAGTGGCATATTTAAACCATAAAGAACCTTTATTCTTGCTTTGGCTCAATCCTTACTTAGAAGGGAAAAACTCTTCTAGAAAACAGTTTCTGAAAAACTTGCTTTTACCTGAAAAGGTACCCATGTGGGGTGTGTGTGTGTGTGTGTGTGTGTGTGTGTGTGTGTGTGTGTTTGTGTGTGTGTGTCCCCTCTAATTTATTCAAAGCATGTACTTATACGAAAAAATGTTTATCCTAAGACCTGCGAAAATAGTATGAATGGCCCACAGTAGTGACATTAAGGCAAGGATTTTAAAAAGCCTGGAAGTCAAAACTAACTGGCAACATTTGATCTGACCTCAAAACATCAAATGTTCTATCCTCATAGGGTTAGATATTTATACACATTTTTATCACTGAAATTTGTACAGGATTGAAATGGTTATCTGGGTTCTGTCATTGGGTCTGTTTTTGGAAGGTCTCCTGTCTAGGGTGTTTAAAGTATGCTATATCTTATGAGCAGGAAGGCTCGATAATGTCCCAAGGTCATCTGTGCCGGAACATTATTACCCTGCTAAACATCTTAGTTCTCTAATGACACAGAAATGTCCATTTAAAATACACTATTTAATTTCACTCTTTCTTTTTTCTTTCTTTACTGCTACAATTTGATAATGTGGGTGCCTCCATGCTTACAGGTTCAGGGTGGTCATATGACACAATGATAACAGCTGTATGGGACAAAGCTCCAGGAACTATACCATGTGAGTTACAGATTAAATGGGTTAGCAATGCTGCACACAATACCAATACTCAAAATTAGACCTGATTCTAACAAGTGAAATTGTAATAAATGAAGAGAGCTGGTATTTATATCAGTAAATATGAAGTTTCAAAGCTATATGTGAATTATGCTGAATTGGATTCTTACTAATACAACATAAATTCTTTCTTTAACGTAGATGACACCCTTGTTAAAACTAGGGAACACTCACTGGCATATTCACTTCTTGTGGATTCTAAGATGCCTTTACTGATGACTGAAATTCAGGTTGTTAGAATAGGAGTCACTTGAATATATTTAGCACTTTATAAAGCATTGCAACACATAACATTTCATTTGTCTGCCATAGCCACACATCAAGTATTTACGGTAGGTGGCATTTTAAAAGTGGGGGGTAAAAAGATCAGGTTGGTTAAGTTATGTGCTGAAAAACTACCAGCCTTGTATTTATTTTTAAAAATAATTTTAACACACAAGTAATATGAGACTATATTTTTGTTTAATAATGTTCTACAACATGACATATAAGGCTAAAGCCCCTAGAACCACATCTCAATCTATGTGCACTCCCTCTCCTCAGAGGCAACCACTGTTATCAGGTGATGTGTACTAGATGTTTTTGATGCCTTTGCAATCATTCACCCTTATCCAAGAAGGTGTGCATAGGAAGATCTTGTCCAGCATTGTTTATAGAAACAAAAAAAATGTAATCACCTTAAATATCCAAAAATTAGAGATTAACCAAACTAAATGTAATTTAAAACAATGTAGCAAGTCTATATTAAATAATTTGAAGTTTCTAAAGTGCATAGAAAGTGCATAGCACGGAGTGACCACTATGTAAAGTATTTACTATTATTATAATGACCGATACATTTAATGAAAAACACAAACTACAAAAAGATGTACAACATGAGCCAATTCCTGTTAAACACACACACACGAGTGGTGTCATAATATTCTAGGTGCACCAGGATTTCACTCCATGAGGCTACTTCCCCTCTTAAATTATGAGGATACTTTCAAATTACATCAGGCAGCATTGTAGCATAAGAGAGAAAATGGGTATGTATATTATATCTGCCTCAATGATGTTTCTCTGGTCTTCATCATCAGAATTCCCTGAAAACAAAAAAAAGGGAAAAGAAACACTTTCTTCTTTAAAAAAGAAAACTTAAGAGAGAGAAATCAAAGTTGAATGAGCATAAACTCTGCCTCGCCAGGTTCTAACTCTCCTGTTTCCACGTAGAAGCTTCTTGTCAGATAAATCTTAATGTGGTATAAAAAGAAAGAATGGTGCTCTATGAAGCAGAGGACCCTGAAAAGCAAACCAAAGATGAATTTTAGTCCAGCTCCATTACTCTCCCCGTTGAGCACAGAGCCAGTCCCCTAACCTCCCAGTACCAGACACTTTGGACATAGTCTTTTATTATTTCTTCACTGCCTAATGGGGGTCCTTTCTTCATGATCATGCATGTCCTTTATAAATGAAGCTTCCTTTGAAGACAGGCAAGAGATCAGATTAAGCCTTCCAATATTTATTACTTGTGTTTCCTCTTGCTTCACTGTTCTCACAATGGCTAATTCTCCAAGGGTTCCCAGATGTGAACTCTGCTCTAACTATTAAATATGACTGTAACAAGGGAACTCACACAACAAAACATTCTTCTTGACTTCCAACCAGGGTTTCTCCCAAAGAGATGCCCTTGTACCAGCTGCTCCAGAAAAGCTCAAATCCATTCCATTAATCATGAAGTCTCAGAGTTTTCTTTCCTAACCCTGAAGAAATCTTAATTATTTTCCTGGTTCAGATTTTCTGGACTAATTTAGTAGATAAACAAAGCTATTGCGATATTTACAAACACAGTAGCAAGCACAATTCCTGAAACAAAGCAAACTCTCCAAAAATATTCACTGAATGAATGATGGCACACCTTAACTAGTAACGTTGTATAGGAATCTCATCTGTTCATTTTCTTTATGTTTTTCATCAGGCTCTGTACCAACATATATACAAATGCTCTCTTATTTCTCACTCTCTCTTAAAAGGGCCACATTAACCTTAAGCCTCCTGACATTCCTGGGCTACCATCAGAATTTTATGCACAAGCCAACCCAGGGTTTGATCTTGCTAAAAATCTCTGCTGATTTATTCAGTCTGCATATTGGACAAGTCATTATCCAGTCCTAAATACCTTTAACTGAGATCAATTTTATTTTCAGTACTTGAATATAAACTTTAAGCCACAGTGTGCCAAATGAATGCAGTAAAAACTTAGTGGCTTCCAAATTTATTTTGAGAATTGTAACATAAAAGCCAACATAGGAAATTAAAGCTTTCATGTAATCTCAGACACAGTACCTTTTTAGGGTGGTTTCCAAAGGCTATCCTGAAAGTTTTATCAGATTCATCTATATAACTACAAGATTCTTCATCTTAATTCTCTTGAGATTTGTCTGATAACTAATGTACTAGAATGACAGACAACAAAATAAGGAAAAGGTGGAGCTGAATAGTCAATGGAACTGCTTTAGTACAGTCTTGGCCAGCACAGTACAAAGAGAGCAATGAAGGTTCCTGATACATGACGAACTCAAGCTCCTTCTGGTCGGTCCCTTGCCTTATCCACTGTTTCAGCATTTATTTAACCTTGAAGAGACAAGTCACATATTGAGAGCTGTCCAGGTCTTTCCAGAGGAATAGAGACACTAAAAACAGTAAGCACTTTGAAGCCACCAACATTCCAAATGTGAACTATGTTGCACTGTGTCTGGCCTAGGCAGGTTCGGGATTACTTGCTGAGTCAGTTCTGAATGAAAGGGATAAAAACTATGCCCCCGCCATTTGATACAATTTTAGGTTAGATTCAGAAGTGATTCCTTCAGATTTGGCTTAGTTCACTCAAACGTGTTCTAGCTTGGCCTCTACTTTCAATTTCTAAACATTCTCTCCAAATTAGGCAGGAGCTTTGCTCCTCCTCACATCAACCACCACCTTTATAACCAGGATCTTCACAACTTAGAATTGGTATAGGGTTCCCGACCACAAAGCTCAATCTTTCTCGAGGTCTGAATCATGCCTTGTCTTATATTTAGAATCCAGTGTCTTATTCACTGGCTGGAACATTGGAATTAGCCGGGTCAGTTTCTTCCTCACCACATTCCCTTTCTTCCCCTCACTACACACAAAAAAAAGACCAGAGTAAGTTGCTTGTTACATAGTTGTTTGGTGGGAAAAAGGTTTTACAAATGAAGGGAGGAAGAGAAGAGGGAACGTGGGTAAGTAGGTAGTAGTAGAACAGAAAGGGAAATTTGGAAAGCAGAAAAGAGAAAAAGAAGAAAAGGGAAACTTCTAGATTCCTAATAATAGAAAAGCTAGAGAATTCCCTTCCTGAAAATTAAAGATATTTTACATGTTTGTGTACGTACACAGCTTTGTGTTTATAAACATACTGTTTTGTTTCATGCAGCATAATAAAATCTATTGCTAATTGTTTAGTTAATATTTACTTATTCAAACAGGTTTTTGAAATCTTGCCCAATATTCAATCTACGCTTAGCAATTAGCTTGCCTGGCAACTTGCTGTTTTGGTTCTTTTCTTAACAAAAACCCAATATTGATGTGCTAACAGAGGAGGCTCACTATCCCTTTGGTCATAGTAATTTCTCTTGCTTCCTTAAATGAAAACCTCTGCTATTTTTCTTGCAAAAGCAAGACTGGTAATTCATTGTTGTCAAGATTTGGCCTGGTGTGGTGGCTCTTGCCTGTAATCCCAGCACTTCGGGAGCCGAGGCAGGCAGATCACGAGGTCAGGAGATTGAGACCATCCTGGCCAACATGGTGAAACCTCGTCTCTACTAAAAAACAGAAAAGTTAGCTGGATGTGGTGGCTCATGCCTGCAGTCCCAGCTACTTGGGAGGCTGAGGCAGGAGAATTGCTTGAACCCAGGAGGTGGAGGTTGCAGTGAGCCAAGATCGCGCCACTGCACTACAGCCTGGGTGACAGTTGGAGACTCCATCTCAAAAAAAAAGAAAAAGAAAAAGGTCAATATTTTTTTAAACCACCACCCTTTAAAGTTCTTTCATGGAGAACTCAGAAATGAACAGCAGTCCCACAGAAATTATAGAACAGAGGCAGAGGGGAGAAATACAAATGAGTCATCTTCAGTCATGTCACCCAGACCATTACTCTTCTGAATGAAATAACATTGGCAGGAAGGGTAAGATGCCTGTGGAACATGCCATGGGATGAGGCATGACCTAGAGTTAGGACCTCCCTTTGCTTTTACTCTAAGCATGTCATTGGTCAAGATCAGCTAAATAAACTGCTCTGCAATTTCCGTGATTTCCATGCATTTCTTTCACCATTAAATGATTATCTTTAGCAATCTTTTTGTGAAATCCAGGCAAATGTCCCAGCCTCATTATATTATTTTCAAGTTTTGCAACTATTTACCACCAGCCTTACATACTAATCCAACAGTGATTGGAGCTATTTATATCAGGCGTCTAGTCCATTCATCCGACAAATGTTTATTGTGTTGCCTACTTTGTCAGGAGCATTGCCAGGTATCTCACTAGATTCTGAAAGATTTGGCATTAGATCTAATAAAGAAAGAGAACAGATTTAGAAATGAAATTCCACAGAAGTGAAAGAGCAAGCACACTATATTTGGAAAACGTGAGATGTTTGGGGTAGATGAAGTACAGTGTCTGAAGCTAAAGAGGGAGTGGTGGCGGCCACAGTGTAGGCTGTAGCTGGGGAGGTATGGATAAAGGGGACAGGTCAAACTATGAAGTCCCTAATACACTGTGCTCAAAATTTTCATTTCATCATATTGGAGACTGAACACCGTTGTGGGCCTTTAAAGGTGGGAACAGCATAATGACATTGTATTTTAGACAGAAAGAACTGATGCCAGTGGGAGAGGCTGATGGCAAATAAGAGATGCCAGCAATCTGGGGCTGCTGTGATGGCCCAGCAGAGAGACACTGATGGCTTGAATGAAAGCAGCAGAAGCGAAATAGGAAAGAGAACCTATTTGAGAGAAGTTCAGAAGGGAGAAAGACTGATTAACTCTTCATGGTATTATGATTGGTCTCCTCCCACAGAAACCAGTCTTAACCAATTTCAAAGCCTTTGGCTCTGAATGTCCTAAACACATTGCACAAAGCAACTCTGCAAGGTTGTCTTTAATCACATCACATAGGAACCAACTATGATGCAGAATATTGTACGTAGATCAAAGTGTGATCTATGTAGAAAAGCATGATCACCTACTGGAAACCTGTGAGAAATGCAGAATCTCCATCCCCACCCCAGAAATGCTGAATCGAATTCTGTGTTTAATCAAGGACCTCGGGTAAATCACATTCACATTGCTGACTGAGAAGTACTAATGTAAAGGAAATATCTCTGCTGTAGAAATAGCGGGACCCTCGTTATGTCACTTACTTATTGAAATTTCATTTCTTTTCCACTAAGGAAATTTTCATTTCTTCTCCACAAAGTTAGAAAACATGTGCTGATCGACTAAAAGATTTAGACTGTGATAGATAGTGTGAAAATGCTTTGTAAACTCCAAAGCATGATTCCAGATAGATTTAAATTCATTTTTATCATTGTGCTTGTGTTGTTATGCATCAAAATCTTATGTTTGCTTTATTTGTAAAATAATTCATTGAGGGCTGGGCAGTGTGGTCCATGGCTGTAATCCCAACACTTTGGGAGGCTGAGGCAGGTGGCTAGCTTGAGCTCAAGAGTTCAAACACAGCCTGGGCAACATAGCAAAACACCATCTCTATTTATTAAAAAATACAAAAATTAGCTGGGTGTGGTAGCATGTACCTGTAGTACCAACTACTTGGGAGGCTGAGGTGAGAATATCAACTCACTGTAGCATCAACCTCCTAGGCTCAGGTGATATTCTCACCTCAGCCTCCCAAATTGCCATCCTCCAAGCTTTCTATGAATTCACAAACCCTACATCCTCCTCTCTCCTGAAACAAAGAAGAGAAGAAAGAATAACAAGGTGAAAACTGAACATTCAATAAACCTAAGGAAATTACCTTTACTATATTTTTTTTCTTGGTAAAATGTCTATTATCCCTAAAAACAATCCCAAATTCCAGCACTTAAGTAGGTTCCTGGGGGAGGATGTAGAGATTATTTAAAATAGTGTATAAGCCTATTTGTCTGTATTGTCCCATCCAGAAAGAAAATAAGATCAACCAGATGACCTTCTTTGGATTCCTTCAAGTGTTGACTCCATGACATCTTATTTCCAAGGCCAAGCAGGTAAGCAGTATGCACAGGAGTAGCTTATGAAGTGCGATTTGAAGGATATCAAGTTGTGAATCCCTGCAGAAGATACCACCCCAGGTATGCTGCATAGATAGACCTACAATTAGACCCAAATCTAGGGAGAAGATACAATGTCCATGTCAGAGACTTTTACAAAATATACTCTGTCTCGCACATTGCCACATGTTGTAAATAATAAATTTATTAAAATAAACCACTTTTATTTAGCAGCTCTGAAGGAAAGAGAAAGCATTTGTTTGTTTATTTATTCATTCTTTGCTGAATATTTGTTAGGTGCCCAAATGTTACCAACACTGCCATTCACAGTAAAAGGCCAGACAAGATGGGCAGGCCCTTTGCCCTCATTAAGAATGTAATCCAGAGCTGTAGTCCTCAAGCATTTATCATCACATACCCTATGAATAAAATCTGTTGGGCATGCCCCTCCAATATGTTAACATATTTACTTGTAAATTAATCAGTTATGCTCACTGTACTAATATATGATATAATGATATGTATATTGGTAAATCCAAATAAAAATATGAGAGTATAATAGTAGAAACAGGCCTCAATTTTTTTTCTGTGCCCCGGTGCAACCACTGGCATATGGTCACCTGCTTGAGAGATCCCTTTTTCACAGTAATTTCTAAGAAGAAACTTTTTCCATGGGGACAGCGTTATTCAGAGTATATGTTGACTTCAATCACATCCAGAATTTGAACAAAAGAAATTATGGATTGCTCAAGATCAGAGATTCAACCTATTCTCTCTATCTGTCTGTAGTAACTTAAACTGCACTTAGAATATACTTGAGGTTTAGTAAATGATTATAGAATTGAGGGTGAAAGGGATGAGGGTTTAGGGAAGAAAATGAGTATACTTGTCACAAAAAAGAGGCTAGCCATGGTAGCTCATGCCTATAATCCCAGCATTTGGGGAGGCCAAGGTGAGAGGATCACTTGAGCCCAGGGCTTTAAGACCAGCCTGGGCAATAAAGTGAGATCTTATCTCTGCAAAAAATTTAAAAATTAACTGGATGTGGCAGCATTACTGCCCTCCAGCCTGGATGACAGAGCAAGACCCTGTCTCAAAAAAAAAAAAGATATAATTATTTGTACAATAAGAAAAAAAATAGCTTGCTCACCAGGAAAAATAAGTTGCCTCACTTATTCAAACAATATTCAGATAGAATAAAATTCATATGATAAAGAACATACCTCCAGTTCACTTTCATTTGTCAGGATAAAATTTCCAATTATGGATCTCATCTCCAGAATTTCTGAGTACAATTTTACTGGGATCTCTCTCATTTTTAATGGACAATACATCAGTTTTACTCTAAGTAGTAAAATGCATTTTTGAAATGCATTTACATGTAGGTTCCTTAAAATTATTTACCTTGCCCACGATTCATTGAAAACGGAAATGGTGATAGAGTTACATAGTTACCTGGCCTCTTAGCTGGCCCCTATCACCATTGCCTTTGTTCAAAATCACCTGTTGTTTTTTTTTCTGGCAAATGACTCTTACTGATAGTTGGTAATACTAATATTTGTGTCATGTTATCACAAACATTTCCCAAGAGACTCACGGTTGCAGTGTTATCAACAAGAGATTTATCTGTGACATCAAAGTTTTGGGTAATAAACTTATCACCATTTCCACTAGTTTTCCCCATGCTCACTGTCAGCCTGGACAAAAGGTGCTTTGTAAGGAGTGTCCCATTAGAAAAAGTTCCTTCAGGTGCACAGACCAATTGCTGGTGCCGGGCTTTGTGCCCAGGCTTCTCTGTTCAGAGCTCTCCCATCAAGACTCTGCCCGAGCAGAGCCTTCCACACTCTGAGAACCATGTGATAAGGAAAAATGAAGTCTAGGTCATGACATAGGGAACTGCATTTACGATACCGCCTGCTCACAGATACTGCCATCTGGCATGTAATTGCCTTTCAGAAACCCCGGGGTCACAGTCTAGCAGCATCCTTCGTGGTCTTGGGAATCCTGAGTGTTAAGATTATGATCCCTGATCACTCTGGACAGGGATGTACTCTAGCCTAAGAAGTCTATTTTTGCCTCAGCTTAATCCTGAGGGTCTCCGAAGTTCCAAACTGGTGGAGGAGAAGGATCTTTCCCAGTAATACTCCTTCCCTTCAACAAATAATTAGGCCTGTCTCACAATCTTAAATTTCAAATAGGCCCTGAATCCCCAAGAGATGCTCGTAGTAAAAATGCTGACATCCTTTTTTAAAGTATATGAGCACACAAACACACACACACACACACACACACAAATGTGCATGTATATACAAATGTACAGATAAATATCCATATGTATGCTAAGAGTGTGCTGCTCACAAACATTGTATATGGTAGGTCTTATACTTCTCTTGTAAAAAATAAGAACATAGAGGTTCACAAAGCTTAGAGCACTCATCCAAAGTTCCATGACCAGGACTCAAAGGTGCATGACACACCGAAATAATGACAAAAAAGTTCTTAATTTATTATCATATCATTTCTCATGTTAGTGTTGCCATAATTATCATTGAGTTTTTATGTATGTAGGACACCAGTACTTCCATGGACATTGCAGTCCTCCTCACCATCTCGGGCAGTGACCCCACATTTCAGGAAGTGGGAGAGGGGAGGTTGCCCTTAGCAGCATGACCCATGGTGTGGCCCCCACGGTAAGAAAGGAGGTTCGTCCCAGCGGTGACTCTTTCATCACCAGGAGAAATCTGACCCCTCTTTCAGATGTGTGTAAAGGTAAAAAAAGCTTTAAAAATTTTTTTTAACTTCTTTTTACTAAGTATTGGACTTTGAATTCCTTTCTACCTAACTCCCCAAGGCCCTCGGGAGGCTCCTGGGCCGTTATGAAAAGTGTTTGTAGAGCTGTGTCTGTGCCATGGTGGACAGACAGCACAGACACAGGCTGGACAATAACAGCTGAGCTGCAGACACCCTGCAGCCCTGCTTCAGTGGTGTTTTGACAATGCCTTTTCGACACATGAGCATTATTTCTCAGAGTCATAATCCCAGGATCCTTATTAAATTTTCCATGTCCCACAGACCCCACCACAGCTTTCTGTCCCACCTGAAGAATACTCTGCACTCCCAGGATAAACAACACTTGATACGAAGCTGACCTAGAACTACATAGGGTTTTACATTCAAACAAATGGTCAGCTGAATTTGCATGCAATAACGAGTTGAATCCCCGAACTTCCCTCATATCTGGTTTCTCATAGAATTTCAGCTACAAGTATGTGACTGCGGTAGACAGAGCTAGCTTGGGGAAAAGGTGAAAGACACCAGAGAAACCTCCCCTCAAACAATATTGTTAAAAATATTCTGATTAGTTAAGATAAGATGTACTCTCATTTTCCTGAGAGTTTTATCTTTATTAGATAGGCTGCACAATCTATATCAAAGTCTTAGCTGAGTTGTTTTGGAGCTGGTTGTTATTTTCAAATAGCATGTGCTATGGTGTTTCCTTGGGGGAATGCATTCCAATTTCTTAATGGGGTGTAATCAGTAACACGTTTGCTTCAGGCCTTATAATGATGATGCTGTTAAGTACATTCAACAAAAATCCTTTAAAACAGCTGTTTTCAGCCAACTTTTGCTGTGAATGTACTTTTGTGTGTTTAATATACTTGGCAAGAATTTGAAAAAGCTCTTGCCTACTGTTTTATTTGTTTCCATTTATGAAAACATGCGTTCGCTGTGAAAATCAGATGCATTCGTAAAGTTATCAAGGAACCCATAAGAAAACCTACCCCCTCCTTGCCATCATCAGCACTTTCTGAATCATCCACAGTGAAATTCACTTCAAAGAAACTTCTGTGCATTTGTTTAACCATAAAATGATCAGCAGCTCTTCTTCAGGCAAGAACAGAATAAGCATATTTCTTGAACTACATTATCTCAAGTCGAATGAGAGGGGGACCCAGTAGGGCTGCCTGGACGAGATTCAGAAGCAAAGATTTCCTACGAGGCAGTTTGCCCCTCCACTACCTGGGTGATTCATCCCCAAAGTTGTTGACCAAGCCCCGTTGTCTCTATCACTTATTAGTCTTCCACTCTGAAATGCAAAAATTATCCTCAATTCAGAGTCTTAGTAAGCACAGAACACCTTCCTTTCTTGTAACATTATCCAGCCAGGAAATAGGCAGCGTGTACTAATGGTTGGTTTAAGTCTGGTCTTTGTTTTCTGTCTTCCACGGTTGACAATGCTCCCTGCAAGGAAGCAGGTCAAAATGAAACTGCCAACCACCATGGTGCATAAAACTGTAGAAGCAGGAAAAAATTTCCTTGCCATTTTTATGTCCATCACTCCACAGATTAGATAGGATTGTTGCCATCTAATCAATGTACTAGCTTGTGTTGTTATAGGTACTTGTAGAAGTCAGGGTGTACAGTTAGAAAGCAAGCAAATAGCAACAGACCCACATTACAGACATTTGCCTGCCACCTGGTGAGTCCTCTAAAGGGAGGTGACCCTGCCATTCCAATGCCCCGAGAAGGACCCAGAAGCGGTTCTTTTCTAATTTGCCTCCCTTATTCTAATCTCATTTCCTCAGTGCTGAACTTATTCCTTCAGCTGAAATCACTGGGAAGGCAGCTACTTAAACAATCAGAGAAACTAGTGCATTGTTTACTTTGCCTCTTCCGTGAGTCCTAAACAATAAATCTCACAACTTTCCCTGTACTCGCTGTGATACTGAACGCCAAACCCCAGCTCAGCAGCAGGAGTCCTATTTCCTGGGCCCTCAGAAGATAGAAAATATCACATTTCTATTTCATTCGACCCTTTCACTCTCTCTGTCATGCTTCGCTGCCTTTACAAGTCACCATTTCACTGTTGCCACAAAGATTACAAGGACCCTAACAGGTAAGGCCTCCAGGAAACACGGATGGAGGGGGCCTGAAAGGAAGGCAGAGGACTGCCAGGCTTATCTGCTCCCTATCTCACCATTGCTTACCACAAGGCCTGCCCACTGACAGCCAAGCTGTCCCGAGGCAACAACTCGGTAATAAGATACACAACAAATAATGGGTTTTTTTGCTGGAAAAATATATACTCAGGTAATTAAATTGTTAACATGATGGATGACCTTATTTTATATTTGAATTCAAAGTGATTTTCTGTATCATTCAACTAAAAGGGCTTGATGTTACAAAAAAAGAACAAAAAACAAAACATAACTCCAGAGAAATGAGAATATAGATTTTTGTTGATTTACTTTAGAAACCAACATGGGTAGTTGTTACTACACTGGATTGTAATGTTTACCTGAAATCTACAAAACTAGGGTTCAAATCCTTTATTCGTTATTTCTCATTCCTAATTGTTTGTGTCATATCCTTAAAAGTGAGGCCATAAAAAATTTGTCAGTGAATATGCTTTGGTTTACACAGGAAGAGCCAGAACATATTAGCGATACCTACCGTTCAAAAGGTTCCAGAAGCAGGACCCTTGTGTCGGAGTTTAAAATGTTAATGCACATGCATTCTGCCCACGTTGAATCCCATATGACAATATGTTTTGTGCCCAGGGCATGATTCTGACTAAATCAATAAACCACTCTAAGTCTGATAAAAGTTTTACAAAATATCCAAGACATTTAGAGTAATTGTTAACATCTGCTCATTATTCAACAGTGTAAGCAGGTTTAGAAGCCAGATAAATATATTTATTCATCAGCAGCCAGCACGTCACTGCTACCTCAGTGGTGATATAAAACAGTAAGACATTAGAACTTGCTTTAGTCCTGAGTTCAGAGAATACAAATGAACCATTATGGAAAAGACAAAAATTCTGCTTTCTCTATGTTTTACACTTGGGGGGTAAAGGGAGACAGAGAAAAGAGGAAAATTTTAGTCAAAAAAAAAGTCTTGATCATTTACTTTGAACTAGGGAATATGCATGAAAAATAAATGTGAGAAGCATAAATCTTAGAAAAGGAATCTGATATGAATCATTGTTAGAGCATGAAGAGCATCTCTCTCCTTTATTCTCCAACACACAATTTAATTTTGATTTCTTCTTTCATTCCACAATATAAGAAAGTTATTTCTATACTGGAAAGTTAAAAATGGGCTTTTTGAAAATAACATTGAAAAGGTTCTATCAGAATGAAATTATTTCTTTGAGAATATTCAGCAACTGGCAGCTGATTTGTCCTGAACCAAAACCAGTATCAGAGTCATCCTTTAACAGTAACAAGAAAATATTAATAAAATCACATTCATACTTATTGGGATGGAGGAGGAGGAGGAGGAGGAGGAGGCATTCAAAATGGTATTCTATGGGGTTTTATTGTTTCACATAATCTGTTGTGTATGTCTCTGTGTGTGTGTTCCAAGTGCCCTTCCAGTAGTCTCAATGACCTCCAGAGATGCTAATAGATCTCAAGTTAGGTGTTCTGTCAGTATTTGAAGCAGAGTTGATAATTAACTTTCAACTACCTGTGTTATCCTCAATCATGATTGTGTAAAATAGATTGCATAAAGTTCCCTCAAGGTTAACTCTTTGGTGAAGGAATAAATCTGACGACCATATGCCATCAACTTTAACACAGTCCACTAACACCAGACCTTAGAAACTTTGTAAACTTTTTCCATGAAAGATAAATAATTCCAGAAAAGAAAATCAGAAAAATAAGTTACTGATGGGTGTTGTTGCATTTTTCTGAAGTACAGTTTTATAAACTCACTAGCATGTGCTTGCACAGTGAGTATCAAATGGTAGACACTTAATAAAAGTTGGTTGAATTGAATACCTAAAACAATACTATATATCTATATCTGGTACCCAAAATATTCTAGGTTCATTGAAAACAACAGGTTTTTTTTTTTTTTTTTTTTGTATGAGGACCAGAAGATTAGCAAGGTAGAGATGAGAAAATTAACAAAGAGATGCTATCTAGCTAATTAAAGCTGTAAATGAAACAAGAACCTCTTCGTGGATTGTTCTGCTCACTAACCTGTAATTATATTGTCAATTGCATTAACTTCATTGCCCACTAATAGAGTAAGTTTCAAGGGAGGCAGCCAATGTTGGGATGGTTATTTATTTTTATGTCCTAATTAATCAGTACTGACACCAAACCACATCCTTCCTTCTTGCTCATTATTTAAATGACCCATTTATATGGATGAACCTCTTTGCTTTGTGCATTTCATTATCACATTAACATGCTTTCAAAACAAAAAGGGTTGTTTCTGCTTCAGCAAGTACTTTGAACAAACAGCTACTTGAGCTACCCCTGACAGGCTGTGCAGCTCTCATCCCTTACTAGGGATTTGTATTAGGCCAATGTAGAGTTTGACTAAAATCAAATGATTACCACTTGGCTAAAAAAAAATTCATTCATTCATTCCTGATGAGTTTTGTAGTGCTGGGGCAGGGGTAGAAAGAGGGAGACTTAGAAAATAGAAGCAGCAATTTTAACTTCTCATCGAAGGTTGGGAAACAACTTGTATTCAGCTAGTTATTTCCTTGTGTCTCATATATGGGAACCTGAAAATAAGCTTTGCCAATAAGAGAGGTTAAAACCTGTTGAGGTCATCAGATTGAAGCATAATTTAAAAGTCAGTTTGTAAGCCCACCTCTGGGACATGACTGTCTTCTTGAAAAGGCACCAGGAGGAGTGTTAACAGTTTTGGATTGTTGTAGCATTGCCCTTTCATGAACGGTTCAGTGATTAGACTACATCTTGAGAAGCCAACCACAGCAACCTTAGGTATATCAGCCCTGATACCTCCCTAAACAATGGTATTGGAGACAATAGATGCTTCAGTATGTCCAAATAAAAGAAATCCTTTCCCAAAAATATTGCCTTAGAAAAGACAAAGCATGCTATATTCAAATGTTAACAGCCTCTTTACATTATGGGGCACACTTGAGATACTTTTGGGAAAAACACAGTAACTGGAGAGAAAACTACAATTAATGTTGATTTGTATGTTTAAAGACATCTTATAATGAAATCATTTTTAAAAGAGTCGACATTATTTAACCCAGACTTATTAGTTATTCCTTTGAATATGATCTCATAAGTGCAAATGTTTCATGGATTGCTCTATAATTTTAAAATAAACTTTAAAAGTATATAGAAAAAAAGCGACTTTGTAGAAACCATGAATGTGTACCTGAGGATGCATGGAAAAAAGAAATTGCTCCAGACTGACATGACTGGATACCTGGACCTGAGAGGAACCTCCTAGAGACAGCCACATATACGGATTTTAAAAACGGCATGTCTCAGATGCTGTAGATGCAAGTAAAGAGCTGTGCACTTAAAAAATATTGGATGATTTAACCAACAAACCCTGACGATGCTAATGGTGTACATTCTAATTCTGGAAAGAATTGTACCATGAAAATGAATAAAGCTGTACTTCCAGATTCATAAATACTAAAATGCATTGACAATTGCAAAAGATCATTTTTTGAGTTGGGCTGGGTAAAATTAGTTATCAGTCTGTGTTACATGGAGTTCCCTTAAATGGAATCATGAACTGTACTTGGATATGGTGGTGGTTTTCATGTTTCATCCTCATGAAAAATTTGCAAGTTTTAGAAGGTAGAAGGACAAACAAAATCGTGACTTACACTACACACTTTAATTTACTTTTGGTGGTTTTTTCACGTTTTCAACAGTTACCAGCCACCTGCCTACTACCACTACCACCTTTGTGGCCTGGGAATCCATCTATGCTGAACTCCACTTATTAAAAGGAAATCCTTCTGTATACTTTACCTAAATCCTGCATCCTTCAGTCAAAGCTCATTTCATATTACTCAAACTTCGGTGAACAGTAGTCCAACATCATCCTCCTTATTGGAAAAATCCATTATTTGAAAATAGTCCATAAATCACCTTTTATCCTTCATTTCCCCCACTTGAATAAGACCAGCTCCCACTTGAATAAGCCCAACTCCCTAGGAATTTCTCCAAAGTATTCGGCCTCCAACTCCAACTCACTCTCAAGGAATAACTGAGTTCCTGGGAAAATTAGTCATATATTATGACTAATTGTAACATGACATATTATATAATAATATAATATTAATTTTAAACAGTAAATATAATTGCCCTAAAATGTGGCTTATGCTTTCCTTTAAATGCCTCAGGAAATTCTCCAATTTCTCCTTTACCTCAGCCTACTTCAGAAATGCTCAATCCTCTCTGTCAGTATAGGAGATCAGCTCATGTTTAGGAGAAGTGAGCAAATGTCTGGTATGGAACACATCAAAACCAGGAAAATCTGTTCCCTCATAAACTAAGTCAAAATCTCTAAAACTAAAAGACAAGTTAATTAACCCATTGAATAGAGTCATCGTTATAGCGTCTATTATTGAAAGTGGGCTCCGTTTCAAGCCTCAAATGTATAGAACCTTCTAAAATGCTTTTCTAAGCAGTGCATACACACTGATCCAATAAAAGTTTATTTTGCTTTTTTTAGTATGGAGATGGCTATTCTGCATGTTTCACATCAGTATTTTATTCTATGTCTCAATTCAAGTGTCAGCTTGAAGACTATGTATCTTCATCTGTAGAATCTGATCATGTGACTAATGCCACCAGGAGCTGCATATTTCAGGCAAAAGCTCAAGAGCTGATATTTGTTTCAACAGATTCACATTTTAAAATGTATTGTCTGGCATGAAATGTACGTGTATGAGGCATGAAACATGACCTTTATACTGGACCACAAATGATTAGGCAACTAGTTTAGTGTTTTGTATTTTAAAGCAATTGGGTGGGGTGCAGTGACTCATGCTGGTAATCCCAGCACTTTGGGAGGCCGAGGTAGGCCGATCACTTGAGGTCAGGAGTTCGAGACCAGCCTGGCCACATAGTGAAACCCCATCTCTACTAAAAATACAAAAATTAGCTGGGCAAGGTGGCATGTGTCTGTAATCCCAACTACTTAGGAGGCTGAAGCAGGAGAATCGCTTGAACCCAGGAGTCAGGGTTGCAGTGAGCCGAGATCATGCCACCGCACTCCAGCCTGGGCAATAGAGTGAGATTCCATCTCAAAAAAATAAATAAAGAGACTGAACTGGTAGAGGATGAAGCAGCATCTATTCACTGTGCAAGGATGAAAGGCCTCTGCAGAATCCCTTCCTGAAACTCAGGATTGATGACTATTTCCACACTGTTGAATGCTGTTTTCTGAACAAGATGCCAGAATTCTATTGTGAGCTCTATGCAGGCTAATTTGGGAGATGCAAGATATCCCAGTTATCTCCCAGATGCACAAGATCAGATTCAAATGAATATTAAGGAGGGCTCTGAAAGGCTCGGAGGGCCACTTTGAGGACTATAAGGGTGAAGTGCGTGAGAACTGGGTATGGGAAGGGGAGGGTGATTTCTGGTGGAACCATCTCTATCCAGTGACCATTTTTTTCATCGGAGTTTCCTAAATCAGCCTAATAGGAGATTGAAGATCTGAATTTGGGTATCGCAGAATGTTTGCAGGCTTCCAGGGAATGGAAAAAGATCTGGATCAAATTATATTCAATTCAGAGGCATGTGGGGCATTCTAATGATTTCCATTGCCCCTGTGGTCATCTTGGGTGGTAGAGCTCATTAAGGCTCAATCACAAAAATTAGGGCTCAGAGGATGTCAGACTTGAAAAAGGACCCAATGTGGACCACCTAAGCTCAGTGAGATGAAGTGACTTGGCCAAGACCTCAGCTCCAGGCCATCTTATAACTAATAATAGGTACCTCCATGACTGGCAAAGGGGTGGCTGACGGTTGTCTTTTAAATGCCTATCCCAGGAGGAGTCAGCTAGAACAAATCAACAGAGCATGACGAGAGTCTAAGAAAAAGTTATCTGGCATGAGCAGTGCTTGCCAGTCCCAGCCAGCATCATGACTCTCCTGCAATTCCAGAACAGGTTCCTAACTCACCTTTATGGTTCCACGCTTACCCCACAGTCTATTCACCACACAGCCGTTGGAGCCCTCTCCTAGCTTCCCATCACATTCGGTCCAAACTCCTCAGCATGGCCTTTGAGGTGCTTCCTCTCTGACCTCACCCCTCCTCTTTCATTCATTCACACTAGCCTAGTGTGGTTGGCTTTCTGGTTCTTTGAAACATCGAGTTGGTTCCTTCTTCAGCCACCTTGATCACTGCTATTCCTTTCAGGTTTCTGTTCCAATGCCCCTGCTCAGAGGGGCTGGAGCTGACTCCTGCTCTATGTACCAAACCTTCTGCATGCGACCATTCCCCCTTTACCCCTTCCTTTTCTTCATAGCAGTTATTACCACACATTATGTAGTTATTTGTTTCTGTATTTATTCTTTTTCACCCCTGCTAAAAAGGTCCATGAGGGTATGGAATTTGTCTAGATTTCAGAACAGTGCCTGGAACATAGTAGGTATTTAGCTTGTACTTACTGAATCAATGAATTGATGCTTTATGGATTACTGGCCAATGTGATCTACAGTGTCTGACTCCAGTAACAGGTGAGAGTCACCGAAATAACCTGATTGCAGGGTTCAGATGGGGACCTCAGTCTGAGGGGCTCAGGGCTATTTGCAGTCATTCTTGCATTTCCTATCATTTTGCCTAATTCTAACATTTCCTCTATCTAAACTTGCTCTATCATGTCAACCAGAAGCTCATTACTGCATGTAGGTTATATATACACAGACTTCTTAGAACAACTACACGATTTAAGACAGTCTAGTGGTTTTATTGGTTTATCAGTAACTATTTATTGGGTTTTTTGGTTAGTTGATTCACAGGTTTTTGGGGTTGTTGTATTTACACCTAACCCTCCAGGATCGCGGTTTTCCGTAATGTAGGATAGTTATATCACTATACTTGCCTTATCTACATGTCTGTTCAAAGCTTACATTAGGTTCTGTATTTTAAGATAATTTGAGAGAAAATAATAATTTTAGAAAATAGTTTCTGGGAGAGTTTGCAATTTCTACAGGGAGGTGTTTTCAGGGGAAAGTTAGCCAAATACAGAGAAAATATTGCTTTTAACTACCGTATTGATCATTTGGGAGGTCACTGGTGTAAGGCACAAACAAAGCAAAAATGTGAACCAAGACATGGCTCCTCACAAGAAGGGCAGCAGCAGTAGCCTGGTCTCTGCTCAGATGTCCCCACTGTATGGAGCTGGATAAACAGGCAGCTATGCAGTCTGTTCTGTCTTCTCTCATCACATGGGAGAGAAGGCACTAGAAAAACAACCAACCAAATACAGCCCAAGGCTTGTCATCCTGGAAGATGATGACCTTATACTCTGGGATCCCAGCCCCACCCCTAAGGAACTAATTGGACAATGAATAATCTAAAAATCTGAAGAAGTTCAGCCAATCATTGACTCTCAGGACAATCACACCCTCCTGCCCCCGTCCTTCTTCCAAAATCTCCAGTATGTCCTGACAGTGCCCAAATAGAGCCTGGTCTGCTTGGACAGAATTCTCAAGTTTAGGCTTATATTCATGCTCTTGCCCAGGTCTGCTTCACTCACCACATCACATTGGGTCTGGATCCACAAGCACCCTCTTTTTCCTCCATTTGTTCAGAGAGATGTTTTCCTGGTCTTTCTTCCTGCTCTCGAAGATTATCTTTTCTATTGCTTAGTTTCATTTATTTAAAAAAAATGTTTTTTTATCTTAATGTTAGGGAAAATATGCGCATTATAAATGCGATGGGGATTTTCCAACTGTCTCCCTGAGGTTCCTCAGAGATCACCAGTGGAAAGCTATGAGCACAGACATTTGGCTTTGAAACTCCTGTTCCACTGTCATAGCATCTAGGTTGACTTTTATCTATTTTATATATTGGATTTCTGAGTAAGTTATTGGTTCAAGAGAGATTTCCTACTGCTTTTATTTAAAAGGGTTAAAAAAATTAAATTACAGTAACACGTGACTCAAAGACTTGCCACCACCTGGTGGCAGCATACCCAAATTTCAATATACCTAAATTTTTAAAAGGGTTGAGTTGAATCTGCTATTCTAAAATTATAAAGTGGTCTCAGAAATGTCTCAAATGATGTATAATTATGCAAAAAATATTAAATATCACTTTCAAAATTCAATATAGTATTTCCAAAGTTGAAATTTTTATAAATACTTTGTTGTAGGACATAGTACTTATAGAAAACATGTCCATTTTGCCTTAAAAGCAACATTCCTTTTTAACCCTTTTAAATAAAAGCAGGATTTTTTGTTTAAGCCAAACTGTTACATGCATCCGGACTTCATTGTTTAAAAAATAATTTCAGGTTTTTTATTCCTGGGATTATTTATTTCAAGAGACAGAGTCTTCCTCTGTTGGCCAGGCTGGAGTGCAATGGCATGATCCCAGCCCACTGCAACCACCGCCCCCCGGGTTCAAGCGACTACCCTGCCCCAGCCTCCTAAGTAACTGGGACTACAGGTACATGCCACCACACCCAGTCAATCCCTGCATTTTTTTTTTAGTAGAGACAGGGGTTTCACCATGTTAGCCAGGCTGGTCTAGAATTCCCAACCCCAGGTGCTTTGCCTGCCTTGGCTTCCCAAAGTGCTGGGATTACAGGCACGAGCCACCATTCCGGGCCATTCCTGGGATTATTTAGTAATTCAATTTTGCAGCTTTGCTATTGTAGCAGGGTCTGTCAGAGACGGTATAGACTCTGTCAATTCGGAGCTTCCATTTTTCATTAAAATGAGTTCTACTTCCTGAAAGTCCCGCAGTCTTGGAATGTCTTGGTCCTTTCTGAGCAGGGATTTGGTAGCTCTGATCTTCTCCACTTGCTCTGGGTTAATCCGCAGTTCACAGCAACTCACTTTTAGTAAGTTTTGGTAACTCAGTTCTTGTCTCTTCAGTTCAATTTCAATGAAGTCATTTCTCTGGGGCTCTGAATTCTGACTTTAAGCGCCAGCACTAGACAGGTGTCACTGGGTTTGTTGTTATCACTCGGGTCCATTGGCAAGTGTGGATTTGTGCCTTCTTGTTCATCTTCACCTGCTAGCTTCTCCCCGATGTCCTGTTCCAGTTCAGCCATGAGTCGCTTCAATAGTCTGTCAGATGTGCAGCCTCTCTCGCATTTATTCACAAGCTCCCAGCCAAATAAAAAGCACTTTCTAAAGCCTCAGCACATCTGTCTGAGAAGGTGGCCTTGGCGATGATCCTGGATCCCGTGATTCTAGGCATCAAAATGGAGGAGGCAGAGGCTGGAGCAGGAGGTTCAGTGAAGAATGGGTGGGGCTGGTCAAAGTCCCCAGTGAGGCTGCTGCCTCAAAGGCAGGCTGAAGACAGGAGGAGGTGCAAGGATAGGAACCTTGTTGGGTGACGCTCACATTTCATTTAACCCTCCAGTGACAAAAGATGGGGCAAACAGATGGGGCATCAGGGTGGGCCTCAGCATCAAAAAGCTGGAGAGATCTGGCTGGGCGCAATGGCCCACACCCTCAACCCCAGCACCCTGGGAAGCCAAGGCAGGCAGATTGGCTGAGCTCCAGAGTTTGAGACCAGCCTGGGCAACTCAGCGAAACCCTGCTTTTATTTAAAAGGGTTAAAAAAAATTATTTATTTATTTATTTAACCCTTTTATTTATTTATTTATTTAACCCTGGATATCTGACAAAGGACTGATACCCAGAATCTACAAAGAACTAAAACAGATTTACAAGAAAAAAACAAACAAGCCCATTCAAAAGTGGACAAAGGACATGAACAGACACTTTACAAAAGAAGACATATATGAGGCCAACAAATATATGAAAATATGCTCATCATCACTGGTCATTAGAGAAATGCAGATCAAAACTACATTGAGATACCATCTCACGCCAGTTAGAATGGCGATCATTAAAAAATCTGGAGACAACAGATGCTGGAGAGGATGTGGAGAAACAGGAACATTTTTACACTGCTGGTGGGAGTGTAAATTAGTTAAACCATTGTGGAAGACAGTGTGGCGATTCCTCAAGGACCTAGAAATAGAAATTCCATTTGACCCAGCAATCCCATTACTGGGTATATATCCAAAGGACTATAAATCGTTCTACTATAAGGACACATGCACACAAATGTTCATTACAGCACTGTTTACAATAGCAAAGACCTGGAACCAACCCAAATGCCCATCAATGATAGATTGAACAGGGAAAATGTGGCACATATACACCATGGAATACTATGCAGCCATCAAAAACGATGAGTTTGTGTCCTTTGTAGGGACATGGATGAACCTGGAAACCATCATTCTCAGCAAACTGACACAAGAACAGAAAATGAAATACCTCATGTTTTCAGTCATAGGCGGGTGTTGAACAATGAGAACACATGGACATAGGGAGGGGAGCATCACACACTGGGGTCTGTAGGGGGGAAATAGGGGAGGGACAGTGGGGGGTGGGGAGTTGGGGAGAGATAGCATGGGGAGAAATGCCAGATATAGGTGATGGGGAGGAAGGCAGCACATCACACTGCCATGTGTGTACCTATGCAACTATTTTGCATGTTCTTCACATGTACCCCAAAACCTAAAATACAGTAAAAAAAAATAGAGAGAGAAAAAAGCAACATTCCAGGAAGGCAAAATAAACTAGTAGCATTCTCTCAAATTCTTTTTATGTTTGAACATCGATGTTATCTATCCTCAAATACCTGGGGAAAGCTTCATTTCTTCTTCTTCTCCTTAAAATCAATATAACTACTCAGTTTCTGGGTAAATTGTACCAGGGACATTCTCTGTGCTGCTCTCTACCTACACTAAAACAAAACAAAGCAAAGACACCTTTTCGCAGACCTTTAGAAATGACTGCACTAAGAGAATAAAAAGTGTTACAATCACAGGTATATTCATGGACAAGGGGAGGAAGAAAGTGAGTTGTTGTTGTTTTTCTTTTTCAGGCCTTTCAGCTCTCACATAACCGTAATATATTGGTTGAATCAATTAACCTTGCTTTGGCCTGATTCAACCATACTCCCTGTTCAGTTAAAACACCTTTAGCACTCAAGAATAGGTTCTAGTAACTTAAATACCTGAAGAGTGAAAAGGGAAATGAAACCTGAGCCTTGCCATTCTCAGTCACTTTTTTGACCAGACCCACATAGATGCCTCCCCAGCAGTCTCCCCAGCCCCTTGCTCCCCAACTCCAGCTATGGGACTCCTAAGTCATTGCCGTCTTACAACAATGATCTTAGGTTAAGTTTTCAGGCAGTTCATGAGAAAATCAGCAGGACAGACAAGGGGCATCCTGTAACACTCCCAGATCTGTGAGAACAGAGTGAGCAGGAGTGAGAAGAATGAGAATGCCGAAGAAATACTCCTGGCAGCAGGCTGGTGGACGCAGAAGGAAGGTTTACTTCTCGTGGTCCCTCAACAGCTGCAATAAACTTGCTCCGTAAGAAGCCACAGTTATGTTGTATTGTGGATTTGCCAGCAAGATTACATCCACACAAGTTCTTTGTAGACCATCAGTAAACACATGGCATCCCGAACAAATAGCAATTAGCTAAGTGGGCAGAGTTTTCAACTAGAATCCATGCCTATTTCCCCTAAATGTTATTTATCAGCTTTTCCTAGAGCCAATTACAAGGAGCAAAAAATGACTTGATTCACAAAGAAATAATGGAATTATAGTAATAAGGGAGTGAGGAAAACAAATAACCAACAAGAATAGACTTAGCACTTTTGAAACTTACAGGTGTTTTGCGTGACATGAACATGGGAACTGACCTACAATATTTCTCATACTTGTAAACATGGTGCAAAGTTTATTTTAATCATACAGAATATGCCACCATTAATTCTTTAAGCATGCAAAAAGCATATCATAGCAAACATTGGACACCCCAGAGGTGTGAACTATACCTTAGAAAAATTAAATTCATTGGTGACCGTTACTTTGCAATTGTTAGATGTCACCATTGTCATTTCATGTTATGGATCTGTGTCACAGCAACATCTGTACAAAACCAAACACCACCAGATGTGCTCTTTCAACAAGTTGGAGCAATATTTAAATTTTCTTTAATAATACACCTGCACTATAGATATACAAAGCCAGTCCTATAAAATTTTATATGCCTATTTAAATTCTTCAGAAACTTTCAACACAAGTTCCAAACAAACCCAAAGCACTAAAGTATGTCAAAATTGCCATGTGAGAAAAGAAGTACACTGAGACAAATTAATTCGCCTTCCTGCTTCGGTTATAATCTAACAGGCTGCATCATACTTGCTGCCTTAGCCCCTGGGCTATTACTGCCTATCTGAGATCACTTTTGATACTCCTGAGGTAAAGGAACACCAAACAGTAGTCATTTATCTGACAAAAGACCTTGTGCTTTTCTTATTCTATCAATCATTAAACAGGTAATGTCTTTTTATGTCATTGCTTTGACATTTATTAACACTCACGTCAGAGGAAATCTTTGCAATTAAAACTTCTATTGGCCATCTAGGTTGTTTTGCCTTGGTTTGTTGCAACTGTTTTTTTTTTTAACAGACACCACAGCATTGAGGCAGGTCAGGAACCTACCATACACTTCAGTTTGAGGCATCTCTTCTGACTCAAATGCGGCCTGTAATTATATAAAAATTACAATTATATATTTTTTAAACATCAGTTTTTGCTTTCTCAATGTAAATGTTAATGATAATCTTGACTCATCTGCTTAAGAAGAAAGAATGCCTGAGAAAGATAAAAGTTAGAGAGCCACAAGACTACTGTGTTGTCATGGGAATTCTTCCTCGCGGCAAATGTGCAAACTTTCAGTTTCAAGTAATAAAATGAAAAGCGTGCTTTTTCAAATGTTTGAAACAAATTTTACATGAGGTCTTATGACCTGATACCACAAACAGAAACAGAGGAGGAGTGCCTAACATGACAAAGAGAGAACTGTGAATACACCACAGAGTAACTCGCTCACTTCCAAACCACTCCTTCTGCGGCAACATCCCCCATAAAAACTGATTACACATCATCCACAGCAATATTATCATCCAGCATCGAGAGAAATAAACCTGAACAAACACATTTCTTTTAATAAAGAGCAATTTAGAGGGTGGGAGAAGAACCAATTTCCTTCTTGGAAAAACCTCTGTGTTATAAAAACATCTTTTATTTAACGAGTGGATTAACTGTATAGTATCTGTATTTATACGCCATCTACTTTACAAAGAATAAAAAGGATGGAAATAGATATCAAAATACTTCTCTAATATACACCATATTAAATGTTATCAATATGAAGACACACACATGTTTCTCTCTTCATATAGAAAGATATATATGCATTAAATGTTATCTATTAAATGAGATATAAATATATTAAATGTTAACAATTGAAGACACAGAAACGTGTCTTTGTATTGATAATATTTAATATATAATATAAACCATATTTTGACATCGATTAATGTTTCCATTCATTTAGATAGATACATATCTCCTTATACTATTATTTTAGTATTTAATTAAACTATGTTAGTATTGAATTCAAATCAAAGATTGAATTTGGCCCTAAAGTACTGTAATGATTTGAAGACACTTAGAATAGAATGTGTCACATGGATTCCATCTCCATTCTAAGAATCAAATTCAATCACAAGAAGACTTGGGACATGGAATAATCTGAATTTATTCATTGATTCAACAAACATGTAGTAAAGACACTACTTTAGAGACATGGCAGCTGCGCTGAGAAGGAAACACTACACTCCCCTGTACACACAGGGAAGTGATTTTACCTGCACGATGACCGAATGTGTGGTTTCAGGAAGTGAACTATAATGGGGTTTTAATGTCCTTTGGGTCCTGCCTCAGCACTGTTCATTTTCAGTAAATGAAAGCAATACAAGCTTTGCAAAGGGATTTCAAACTATAATAGGGGAAACTTAGAAACGAATCCAGATACTACCATGGATATAAGATTCTGGGAACTACATATCTTGGAGAGATCTTTAATCTGAAATCACTGCAGGTTTCATGAATATTTAAGGGACAAAGACTCAAAGAAGATAGTTAAAGGGAAAATTGCTGTTGGCTGATTTTTAATAAATAGATCCTTTCTAGGACTCCTAGTTCTCACTAGAAATTGCCTCAGAGACACTTTCCACCTATAGTCATTACTCAAGGATTAAGACCCAAGACACCACACTCAGGAGGCCTGTTTATTGCAGACAGATGGTTCAAAAAGCAGCTCTCCCAGCATGAAGACTATAAACCCACCGCCCAAACCGAGGCAAAGAGGAGGGGCCACGGTTCCCCACCCAGTGCACAGCCACGCCAGGGCTCCTCAAGATTTTCCTTCCCGCCCAGGCCGTGGTTGCTCTTTCTTCCTCACCTGGTTCTACCAGGATCAAAATGTTCTTGTAATAAAATTAAGTAAAGATTAGGCCTGGAGTATAAGATTAGGTCACTGGATTTGGGTTTGAGTCACCACTGTGTCAGTTACTAACAGCTTGCCCTTCAGCAAATCATTCAAGATCTTTCAAAGTAAAGTTCACCCCAGTCAGACCAGACAGACCTCATCTCAAAGTCCCTTGAACCCGGAATCTGATCTACAGAGCTTTTTTCTACTTAACTTCATGAATCACAGCCCCATCCTATACATACCAGCATACTGCTTAGCCACTGTGGGACTTTTAACGACCACATTTTCATTCAAACTGTGTATTCATTAGAATAGCTACACATTTTTTCTGGTTAATGTACCTCAAGTTCTGATGCTATTTGGTCTCCTGCTCTCTGCCCCACAAAGAAATCAAACGTAAAAATAAACAAATTGCATAATTTTTCTAATAAATAGGCTGGAGAGAGCCTTCACTATGAATGTGGATATGTACTGATATCACAACACTCTTGATTCTTGATTCTTTCCATATCGCTTCACTTTCCTTTCCCCTCCACTCACTCACATGCATGAGAAGGCCATGAGTCCCTCATAGAAACCTTGCAAAACTTAAGGGACTCATTGTTTGTGCTATGCTTTAGAGGTGAGCCTCACTGAGTGCACTCTGATAATGTTTTTCAACATTTTCATGGATTGTTTCAGATTTATGTCAGAATAAGATTCTTATCTCTTGGCCCTCAGCCTATTGCCATGAAGTCATAACCTTTGTTTAAGAGCAGCCCAGCCCACTGTCATAATTACAGATTTAACTCTGTTAATAAAGAGAATGCAAGCCACTAAAGATTGAATTTCTGCTCTCACAATAAGAAAATGAAAGATTTTATAGTAAATAATCAAAATTTACATGCTAAGAAGCAGCCTTGGGATCTTAGATGATAGCCTCTCTTATAAATCATTCAAATAGAAAACATTCATAAAATAAATGATCTTGCAGCATTTGTCAAACATCAATGGCTATGCTATCTCACAACATTTTAGTTAACCCAGGTGACTCAAAACAGTTCTAAGTGTTCAAATGTTCTATGCCCTCTTTAAGTTTTAGGCTCATAGTCTTAATTTCACATCTGCTGATGAGAATCATGAATAAGTTTAACCATGCTAGCCCATGACAGCCCTTTAAATATTTGAAGCTAGTGCTTATGTTCCTTCTAAGTGTTCTCTTCTTAAATATCCCCACGTCCTTCTATTTATTGACATGATCTCACCTCTTGCCATCTCTGTACCCTTTCTTGGAAGCTCTGTAGTTCATGAATCTCTCTCTCTCAAAACATAGTGCACCCAAATGAAGGACACTAACCCAAACGGGTTCCAACCAGAGACGAGCACAGCAGAGCTAACCATTACCCCATTAAATCAGGTCACTGTATTTCTATACTGGAGCCTGGGGTTCTATTAGCTTTTATAGCCACTCCAACACCTTGTTGGGTTATATTATGATTTGTCAAGGCTACCCTCAATAAGTGGCCCCAAACTAAGACATGAACTTTTAGTTCTGTTTCTTGTGCTGCCACTAGTTAAGGAATTAACTTGAAGCAATCTTTCTTAGCTCTGTTTCTATACTGTGGGTTCAGTATTTAAACCTTAGCCACGGTTCTCTTTTAACATGCTAGTTGGCTAATGTGGAATTAATTAAATATCAGCATGATTCTGTTAGATAATAACATATCTCATCATCATTTTGCACAATGTTATGATTATTCGCTGAAACTGAAACAGCTGCATAAGGTGAGTGTCTGACTAGATTATGTCTAACCTGAACAGACTTTTTCCTCCAATCAAAACATTTTCTTCTCTCTCTTAAAGTTAACAAAGTGATTATAGAAATAGATCTGAATAAAATGAAAATATATGATTCATATCATGTGAAGCAAGATGCCACCCAATCCACTCTAGGGAAAGTTGGGAGAAAATATGTCTTTTATTTTTTCTATCATAATACAGAAGATAAGTACTAGCAGTGTTGATAATCTATGGCTTTTCACTTAGAATCAACAATAGTGGCACGCCCTATGATTTTACTTTTTCAACACCATCCCCAAACAAAGCAATGAAATGTAAGATAATGTGAATGAGACCCTGAAATTTAAGGAGGCAGAATAATGGTTTGCAGGTGTGAACATTATTCATATTTTAAACTAAATAAAAAATTTTCCCATTACTCTAGGAAAATCAAATAATGTAATTACCAAGATGCTTCTGATAGGTAAAAGATACACTAATTTTGATGACAGTTTTCTGTCATGTTAATCAAGTAAAGTATATTTATAGGATTTACATTATTGAGAATAATACCAAGGTGAAACTTACAAACTAATCCTTCATTTATAGCCTATTCCGTGAAATTTATAAACCCCAAACACAGGATCCCTTTATGTCCATTTCCTTCAAGTATAAATCAATACGATGGGGGGCAACCCAAAGAGGGGGGCTTGGCGCTGACATCAGTGCCGCTTCTTTAAATACCAGATGATATTTAGAAGGCTGTGCTTATTCTAGGAGATGTCAGCGAGGGGTTTTTAGTGAATATATGCCTATCTAAATGTCCAGGATTGCTGTAAAATGTTCCCTCTAGGATATGGAATATGAGGAGAGTTCCACTACCTTGCCTTTTTAAACACAATTGGGGCTCAGTGGTACTAGACACTCCAGCAATAGCTAAACTTGAATACATATAACCTGCATCTGTGGTTTCAAGACAGGTAGAGAAAGAAAGACATACATCCATGTATCAAGTCCTGTTAGAAATGTAGCATAGTGTTAGACAACAGAAGAGAACTGGTGATTCAAGGTAGAGCTCACACACAGTGCCAATGTTCCAGGGCAGGCACAGGGACAAGGAATGCTGGTCCGGGGGAGGGAGGCGCGACGCCTCCTGCTGTGAAAATGGCAATTTGATTCCTGCAGCCCAGCCTGTGTGCCTCAGTGTTTTGTTGTTGCCGGTTTTGCTAAACTAAAAAAAAAAGAAATCTGGTGAATTCAAACAATTATCACATTATGGGTACCTTGTCAATATTGATTGAAAGAATAAATAGAAAGAATAGTTTTTGAACCAATAAAAAACTATGAACAAATATAAAGTAAAAAGTGTAATATTTTAGAAACAACCTGTATTTTACTAAACCAGCTAAAAGATTAAAAAAAGAAAAGCAACTGAACAGAGCCAAAACCTAAACACACTGAGGAGTCCTCTTTTGGATTATTTTCACTTCTTTAATATTTATTAGAAGAGAGATGGCACATACTCAGCTACTCGTATGTATTACTCCTTTTTAAGACAATGATCACCCAAAAAGGTCACACAAAAAACAACACCAATAAATTTATGTCACCACCAATCAACACCAATCAAGTCTTTATAACACCACCAATCAAGAGAATTACCTGAATTTTCACTAAAAGACAGAAACCATTTTACATATGCTCTACAAATTCCAAGCCAACAGTCTGTAACATCATCAAAAGTCTAACTTCCTCCTTCCCACAAAACAAGAAAGTTCCTTGCCATTCTTTCCCCTCCTTGTAATGACACACATTGATGGCATTTTCAGAAGATTGTACACATGGAATGCATAGCTAACCCACTTGAAACAGATACATACATATATATATATGTTTCACACTAGTAGTTATTCATTTATTCAATATATGTTTACTAAATGCCAAGTCTGTGCCTGACCTAAAGATTCATAAAACAGTAGAGGTGGAGGACACACTAGAAGTCATTCATACCAGGTGGTGCAATCTCTGGGACCTTAAGTGGTGTCGTAAAGATGTGAATAGTCAAGTGTAAGATAACAGGGAGTGGTGAAATCC